AGTGTAGGGTGTGTGATAAATCAATAACCTTTGAAATAGGAGAGAGCAGATAAGGCACAGAAGGAAGAACAGTTTGGGGAAGACAAATGCTATGGCACATGAAGATAGAAAAGGAATCGAGGAACAGAAGCTGTAAAGAAATGTCGACCTTCCTCCAGAGCTGACATAGTCTTCCACTAAAGCCAGTGTTCCAAGCCAGATGCTACCCTTCTAAACTGTGAGAAAATAAATTCCTATTCCTTTAAAATCACCCACTAGTAACATATCAGGAGGGAACAGTCGATGGAGAAGGATGTCATGCTGGGTAAGATGGAGGGTCAGAGAAAAAGAGGAAAACCCTCAATGAGATGGATCGGCCAGGTGGCATCATTGATGGCGTCAAGTGTGGCAGCGGTAGTGAGGTTGGCCCAGGATCGGACATTGTTTCATTCTGCTGTGCATGGGGTCGCTATGAGTTGGTTCCAACTCGATGGCTCTTGACAACAACAACAGTAACATATCAGAGTCCTGGTGTGGCATATAAGCCCTGGACTGCTAACCGTAAGGTTGGTGGTTCAAACCCACCAGTCACTCCTCGGAATTGCTATACAGGGTCATTATGAGTTGGAAAAGGAACTTGGGTAGCATAGTGGTTACAAGTTGAGCTGCAAACCACAAGGTCAGCAGTTCAAAACTACTAATTGTTTCCTGGGAGAAAGATGAGGCTTTCTGCTTATGTGAAGATTTACAGCCTTGGAAACCCTATACACAGGGTCACTATGAGTTGGAACCAGCTCCACGGCACGTAAACACCATTACCACCATGAGTTGGAACGGAATGGACAGCAGTTAACAACAGTGACATTTCTGTTACAGCAAAATAAACAAATCTGTTGACTTTGAGTTGATTCCAACTCATAGTGAGCCTACAGGACAGACTAGCAATGCCTCATTGGATTTCTAAAATTGCCATATCTTTCTCCCATGGAGCAAGCTGGTGAATTCGATAATCTTACAGCTAGCTTTGAGCTCTTAACCACTGCATCCCAGGGCTCCTTTCTGTTCCTGACTCAACTACAACTCTGGCGTCCACTCGGACTCACAGTGACCATGTACAGGGTTTCCCAGACTATAAGTTTTTACAGGAGAAGACAGTCTCAACTTTCTCCTAAAGACCATCTGGTAGGCTTGAACTGTTGACCTTGCGTGTAACAGCCCAAAGCCTTAACTCACAGTGCCACCAGGGTTGCTTTTCTGTGACATCTGCTGCTGACACTTTACTGAGAGCAGAAAGCCTCATCTTTCTCCCACAAAGTGACTGGTGGATTTGAACTGTTGACCTTGAGGTTTGCAGCCCAACATGTAACTCACTATGCTATCAGGGCTCTGTTACAGCAGCATTAGGTAACTGAGTGATATTGCCACACTAGCCACTGCTATTACCTGTTCTCCTCTCCTTTTACTATTCAGACATTTGTAATAGGTTGATGGTGATAAGGTCACCATGGAGACATGGTGACACATTGTGTGCTTCAGCTATTGATCCTTATCTGGAAGTTCCATGCTTGGGAAACAGGCTGTAACCCATGAAGCTACTGATCTCATTCATGTAGATCCCAAAGTGACAGGAATTACCTGCTTGTTGGTGTGAGAGGGATTTCATTTAGGGTTAGGAATCACAGTGTGAGAACACACTCACAATTGAAGTAGAAGATAACAGCAAAGGCGACAGACAAGATGAATGAGTCTACATTCATGTTTGATTTGACAGATGAATGGGATTCCAAATCCCACCCCCCCCTTGAAAAAAAAAAAACAACAAAAAACTGTGTTTTCCCCTTCCAAATACATATTCATCCAAATGGAAGAATATGCCCTTTGAGTAAGCTAAATGCTGGCCCAGAGATTGGTTTACAAAGTAGAAAAGTGGTTTCCCCACTTCCTACCTCATTTTCCAATTCTTTCTCATGTTGAATGCCATGAATGGTATCTGTGTGCCAAGCAGGGCATGCTCACAGAAAGCAAGAGTGTTAGTGGAAAGAAAAAGGAAAAGACACTATGGAGAAAAAAAAAAATTATATATATATATATCACTTAGTAATTCTGCCACTCCCAGGGAAATAACCTCCAGGCTTCCATGCAGTGACTCCTCTTTACTGCATTGAGAAGTTGAAGCCCAGAGGTAACATTGTTCAAAGAGAAGCATTTTGTGCATCCTTCGAAGTCCTAAACAATAAAGTCCCTGAGAAAACCCTCAGGCTATGCTGCATGTCTGACTCTCCAAGGAGCCTTCTATAATACTTACTGTGGTCACTCTCTTGTAGAACACTGGCAGAGATTGACAGGCTCTTCCTCACTTAGCACATAGTGGAAATACTGGAACCTTTAATGTGTATTGAGATTCCCATTGCATCTGAAGGCTCTTCATAAAGGGCAAAGTGGGTGGCAGTTAACTTTCTGGATTTGACTCTAAGGTTGGCAAATGTTATAGGCTGAATTTTGTCCCCTCAAAATATATGTTGTAAATTCTAACCTCTATGCCTGTGGAGCCCTGGTGTGGCACTGCGGATTAATGCGCTGGAGTTTGAACTGCAAGGTCAGCGGTTCAAGCTCACTAGCTGTTCCTCAGAAACCCTATACAGGGTTACTTTGAGTCAGAACCACCTCAACGGCTCTTAGCAACAACAACAACAACAACATGCCTGTGGAAGAGTCCTGGTGTGGCAATGTAGGATAAGCACTAGAATGCTAACCCTAACCTCAAAGTCAGCAGTTCAAACCCACCAGCTGCTCCTAGGAAATTCTAGGGTCACTCAGAGTTGGAAACAACTAAACACTTAACAACAACAATATGCCTATGGTTGTAATCCCATTTGGGAATGGGTTGTCTTTGCTATGCTAATGAGGCTGGATTGGTATAGGATGTTTTCTTGAGTGAATATCTTTTGAGATATAAAAGACATTAAACATAAATTAGCAAGCAGAAATGGAGGAAGAGAGATGCCAAGCACATGAAAACTGCCAGGAATATAAGCTCAGAAAAGACAAAGACCTTCCTTCAGAACTTACAAGGAAATTTGTGTTGTTGTTGTGAAGTGCCATCGAGTTGGTTCCGACCCATAATGACCCTGTATAGGGTTTCCAAGGAGCAGCTGGTAAGCTTCAACTGCCGACGACGACCTTGCAGTTCAAAGGACTTTGCAGTCTGGCACATTAACCCACAGCGCCACACCAGGATTCCTACAAGGAGAGTGGGTGCACTGAATTCAAGTTTCTAGCCTCCTATTCTATAAGAAAATCAATTTCAGTTTGTTAAAATCATTCATTTGTGGTGTTTTTCTTATAGCAGGCAGCACTGGACAACTAAGACAGGAAGACAGGAAAAGGTATACAAAGGAACCACTCAGCAGCGGGACTGCCAAAACTCTAAAGCCCAAGTGCATGCTGTTCCACCTCCTCCTCATCATCACTGCACCACTCTAGTGGATTCCAGAGTCTGAATTCCACTAATTTTCTGTGCAACTCCCCTTCTCCCTTCCTCCAATGTCCAAATTTGGGTGCTCAAAATAGAATTGTAGATTCAGTCAATAAATAAAGGGAAAAAAAGAATAACCTCCTGCAAGTGACTGAATTCTGATTTCCCACTTCTTCATTAGTAACATGGGAGATATTTCAGGGGTTTGTTTGGAAATTCAGCATTAGAGTATATACTTTATACAGTTTGTAAAAAGCCATAAAATGCTATGCTCCAAGGTGCTAATGTAATTTTTAATGTTCCCATATGTTTCATCAGGAGCTAAAAGGGGAAGAAGAGTGATGTCCCCACCACATAAGGGAATCATCATGTAAAGTCATAGGTGTGATGAGTTAATTAATCTTAAGTGCATTTAACTAACACAAGATCAGAACTGGACAGCTAACTGTAAGGTCAGAGATTTAAACTCATCATCTTTCCTCAGAAACCTCATGCAGAGAGCCAAATTGAAGGCACTTAACAACAAGGAAGAAAGGTGGATGGCAGTTCAGGAGAAAGGAAAAACGGGGAAGGGACTAGTTAAGGATTAAGGGGATACTTTAAAGTCCAGTTGAATTATTTCATAAGGGATAATTTTCATAAGAAATCATCTCCGTTTCAGAAAAAAAGTAAGAAAAGAAAAATAAAACAGGTTTGAAAAGGCGAGCTCCCTCTTGCCTTCTGCAAGTAACAGTGCATGCACGATACAGAACCTATTTTATCTGAACTTCCTCTGTGGTCCTTTTTATATGGAAGTCTTTCATTGTTTCAGGGCTTCCTTTGGAAAAGTTTCTCCCTAGTGGAGAAAAAGAAGCTTCATCAGACTCAATCTTTTGACCCAACATCTCCATTCACTTTCATATCAGACATTGATAGCATAGAAGCATCTTTCCTCAATTTCACGGCTGGAATTTTACTCTCCCTTGGCGTTGTCCAGTGTCCATGGTATCGATTTCGAAAGTCAGTCAGCAACATAACTTTGTTTTGGATCCAAGGTGGTTGGATTGTTTTTAGGAATCGACGAACCTTTTGGTACTGCACCAGTAGTTTCTCTTGTGTGCAAAATGTGTAAAACAAACACTTGCTGAAAAGCATGAAGAATTAACGAAGTGAAAAATCTCCGGTTATTTTTCCAGTAATTGACACATGAGTGACCTCCTTAAATACTTAGTTGTTTAAGGACGTTCAAACCAAGGATGAATGAATCTTCGGTACGCTTAACTCGTACCAGTGTGTCAATCTCTTTAGTCTTTTGGGAAGTGGAGTAAATTATGACAAATCCAGAAATGAGCGGGGGAAAAGGAAGTAAAATCATGATCCCGGGGCTCTTCTCCCAGTCCTTTGGAAAATCCTTTGCAGCTGGAAACCCTGGAAGTTACAGCCAGAACTGGCGGCGCTAGGACCTGGCTGGAGCCTGGCTGAGGCTGCTTTCGGGCGGGAGGAGGAGGGAGCAGAGAAAGGGAGGGAGGTGGGAAAGGAGGGGTGTTGAAGGGGGCGGGCGGGAGTCATTTATGCAGAGCTGGCTCTGCTGCCATTGCCACTCACACTCCCCGCGCGCTGCTAGGAGCCGGAGGGAGCGCGAGGGAGCTAGCAAGCGCGCGCTTGGAGCCGGGGCGAGCAGAGGGGGCGCCCGGCAGCTGCCAGCACCGCCTCCACCGTGCTCCTGGGCCTAGGGAGGAGCGAGGGCGAATCGCCGAGTCCCAAAGCCGAGCGGGGCGAGACCCAACTGCGGGAGGACGCCCGCCCCACTGAGCCGCCTCCAGCATTGGAGCGGAGGAGCGCACACCGACCTCCTCGCTGGTTGGAGAGCGGGAAGCACAGGTCTCTGTAGTCCCAGGGATGATCTAGGAGATAGCGTGAAGCTTGTTGCTGAGATCCCAGCTCGGGCTATCTGCATCTTGCTCATCGTCCAAGGCTTTGACCCGCTACGGCCGGGGGCTGCGCGCCGGAGCGGCCCAGGCCAGAGAAGTTAGTTGTGCGCGCCGCTTAGAGCGCGGAGCAAGCGGAGAGGGAAGCAGCAAAGGAGGCAACAAGGCGCTGGGACCATGGGCTGGGGGAGCCGCTGCTGCTGCCCTGGACGGCTAGACCTGCTGTGCGTGCTGGCGCTGCTCGGAGGCTGTTTGCTCCCGGTGTGCCGGACGCGCGTATACACCAACCACTGGGCGGTCAAAATCGCCGGAGGCTTTCCGGAGGCCAACCGCATCGCCAGCAAGTATGGATTCATCAATATAGGACAGGTAACGACCGAATGATCTGGCCCTGGACTTTGGAAGTTGCTGGGGAGGGGGTTCCCGTCGACCCGTACTTCTCGCCCCTTCCGGATCGGCCCCCTTTCCAGATGTGCTGTTACAGCTGTTACCCTAACTCGTGGGCGATGCGTGCGCGCTGTGTCTCTATCACACACACAAGCACACACGCTCACCAAAGTTGTCAGGGTTTGTGTTTGTTTATTTGGGCTTTCTTTGCAAGCCACGCGGGACCGATAGGGTCTCTGGAAAAATCCGCAGTGTTCCCCCTCCCGTGGTTGTTTCAGGCTTGACCTAGGACCTTTTGGCCTGGAAAGATTAGGAGCACTATTCGTCTCGGCGGGTGGTCGTGAGGAGTAGGGACTATAAACTCTTGGGGGGCTGGGAGCAGGGAGTCAGGTCCCAATGAGACCTGCTGTTTTGGGGATGGAGGTGTGGATAAGGGGGGAAAGGACTGGGGAAGGAAAACGTTCCTGTTCCTACCTGAATTTAGTCCAGAAATAAGTTTCCTGTTCTTGGACGTTGGAACCGCTGGGTGTGGGAGGAGAGGTGGAGGGGAGGAGAAAAACGGAGAGGGAGGCTTGAAGCGTTGGACCCGGCATCTTCGCAGACTTGGGGAGACTCCCCTGTCTCGATGCAGACCTACGTGGAGATTCCCGAAAACCGTTCGGAGCGAGAGGTGGAAAACTTGCGAAGCCCGCTGCTAGATAAAACAGCGAGTCCTGGTAGCGGCGCGGTTGGGCGAGTTGGGCAGGCAGATGGGCACAGGATTTTTGTGGGGAGCTGTTCGCGGACTCTCTCTAGAGCTGCCCTGTCGGGGGAAATGCCAATAAATTGAGGTGATGTTATGGGAATGATTGGAAGTGGAACAATTTGAGGGTACCTTTGGCCTTTGGCGGTTTCCTTCTCCGCCCTGAGATTGCGCACTCCATACCCTTGAGAGTGGGAAAGACTGTAAGCGAGTCCCAGAAAGTGATCCCTCTCTCGAATACCCTTCCTGCACACCCCATGTTGGCGGGAGCTGACCAGACTCTTGTGACACCCCGTTGGGAATGGGAGATGGTGAGGATGATGGCAGGGTGTCTTCTCAGCAGGCGTTCCCCTGGGACTGCTGGAGGTAGGGTGCAGGGAGAAGAAGGAGCCGGCTGGTGCCGCTGGAACAAGAAACCACAGATTTCTGGTATTATTACACTCCACGTCCAGGACCGCGAGCTTTGGAGCTTAGGTCCCCGAGAAGCGCGGGAACTATCCTCCGCCTCCCCACGCGGTCTAGGAATCGCGGGCTCAGAAAAGGAGGCAGAGCGTCTGTCGTTGCTTCTGCCAAGGTGGCAGTGGATCTGGGGAGGTTTGGGAGGAGCGGGAGCTCGAAGTCTTGCTCTTTTCCTGCCCAGAGGGGAGGGCATGTTCCAAGAAGAATCGGTCTTGTGGAGGACTAAGATCAGTATTTTCTAAGCCCTAGAAGACTGTAAGGGAAGCCTGCCAGGTTTTGTTGCCCGAGTGACGGCCATCAGCAGAAGGGTTCGCTTATAATGGCTTGGTAAGAGTCTAAAACCAAACCCAAGCCACTGCTGTCGACCCTATAATACAGAGTAGAACTGCCCCACAGGGTTCCCGAGGTTGTAAATATTCACCGAAGCAAAGCCCTATCTGGTTCCAACCGCAGATCTTGCGGTCTGCAACCCAGCGCTTTAGCCACTTCCCTGGAGGCTGTTACAATCTTTCAGCCAGGAGCTAAAAGTTGGGCGCTGCATTTGTCCCAGGAACGCTGAATGTAATACTGCAAATCTTTCCAACACACATCTCTCAGGTTCAACTAACATTGAGTATCTCTTAGGAGTCAAGCATATTTGCAGGAATGAGGTCTTAACATACACTTTTTTTCTTAAGTCCTCAAACCAACCTGGTATGGTGAATATTACTTTACATCCAGCAGATGAGGAGACCAAAAAGCAAAGTGACCCACCCACTCAGCCAGTGACAAAGCCATGATTTAGACCTAGGATACCCTGGGGGTCAGATCCATTGCCCAGTGCATCCTGTCTTTTAGAAATTCTTTCTATCCTTTGGTAGGGAAAGGAGGAATAAAGTAAAATCCCCATTTCCCTGAATTTGGGTTAGTGGCTCATTTCCTCTGTAGATCAAAGAAGTACAACCCTCTTCTAAGTCTTTGGGGTGGTAAATTCAGTTCACACACAGAATATGATTGCACTGTAAGGGCCAAATGTATTTCTCATTCATCCTTTTATTACTCTGACCTTTTAACACTTTAGACATCCTTTTGTTATTCTTTCTTTCCACCAATAAACCAGCTGTAGTTCAGTTGAGGGCAGAAACTGATTTGCAAGTGTTGTGGTTCTGTTGGCTGTCTGTTTTTATTCTTTTTATCTTGAGGTCCCACATTATGTGTCACAGATTGAGACAGGATGTCATTTCTGAAGTCATTTAATATCTTGGCAATATTTTTATTTGGGGGTGGGAGCTTTGTATTATTAATTGAGTGAAGTTTTACAGCAGAGACCATTCAACAAATCACGCACTTTGCTTCATCTCAATGGGTGCAATCTCTTCAATGCAATAAACTATCTCCGTCCTCCCTGTGGTTCCTATCCCATATTCCATTTTCCTTCCCAACCCTTCTCAACTTTGTCCTTAGGCCAAGGTTGCCCTTTTGATCTTGAATGGTTGACCATTCCATGGGAAACATGTTGTTGTTGTTATTAAGTGCCATCGAGTGGGTTCCAACCCATAACGACCCTGTACAGGGTTTCCGAGGCTGTAAATCTTTACGGGAGCAGAACACCTCATCTTTCTCCCGCGGAGCAGCTGATAGTTTCGAACTGCTGGCCTTAAAGTTTGCAGCCTGATTCATAACTACTATGCTACCAGAGCTCCTTACTGGGAAGCATACCTTACTGGTATTGTTGTCCCCTTATACACCCATCTTCTGCTTAGCTGAAAATTGAGCCACAAGATGAGTTCCCTTCCAGAACTGAAAGGAGGCCAAGGGTCAAATCGGGTTCCTCCGGTATCTTTCTGACTAGTAAGCCTGGCAATATTTGGGGTATCTTCAGAATTCAAGGTGAATTTTATCAAAAGATAAAGCTTTGACCATCTCCTTAAAATATCAACGTAATTTTCTGTATCCATCTGAGCACTTAAAAGTCACCAGAGGTAAAATTTCTGGCCCAGAGAATTCTACAGAGTATAGGCACGCCTCTTCTGTTCATGAGCTAGAGGACGTGTGGAATAATGCAAGACACAAACAAGCAAAAAGGACATGCCTGACTTCCCAGGAAGGAACAATAATGAGGTTTTTGTTTTTGCCTCTGGTTATAGAGATAGCATTATGTTTTGGTAGACTTTAAGAAAATGTTTATGTTTTGGGAATGGTTATGCTTTGAAATTCAGGAATGATACCAAAGTATAATTATTAGTAGTAGTTGTTGTCAATATATAGCATATTTAGTATCATTTTAGACTGCCCTGCTGTCTTAACATGTACTTTGACCTGTACTTGCTTTTTGGCCAAGGTAGATGTGTGTGCCTGTTGACTGGCTTTGGGATTGAAGAAGAGGCCTCATCCTCTTGAACTAATCCTGTGCTCTAACCTTTCATGCTAACAGTCTACTGGTTGTTGTTGTTGTTAAGTGCCTTGGAGTCGGTTGCGACCCTGTACAGGGTTTCTGAGGCTGTTAATCTTTATGGGAGCAGAAAGCCTCATCTTTCTCCCGCGGAGTGGCTGGTAGTTTCGAACTGTTGACCTTAAGGTTTGCAGCCCGATTCAAAACTACTACGCTACCAAAGGGAAAAGATCTGACATCATGGTAGCTGTGAACCTATGTTTGAATAACATCTACAAACCAGAAGGAAGGAAGATGTCCTGTGAATAGATTGTTTGCAGTGTGCACTGGCAGAATTTATCCATCTGTGTGTTGTTGATCCTAGATTCCAATTCCAAGGCTGCAAAAATCCCTTCTCAGTTATGTAAATTATCTCAAACAAGACTATGGAAAGATAAATCCAGGTGAAAGCAATTTTGGGGAGAAACCTCCATGGTCAGCATTTGAACTTGGAAACTGCAGTACCCTTGCATGATCTGTGTCATCACTGGGCCTTGTTCCTTCATCTATCACATGATAAGACTCTAAATAATAGAGTAGTTAACTATGCATTGCTCAGTACATGGTTAGACTTACCAGGAAAGGTTTGTTGAATCTGCATCAAAGGAGAAAGACTGAAAAAGGTGAGATTCAAATTTTATTTAGATATGGAGAAAGGAAAATACATGTTTAAATTGTAAGATGCAAAACAGGAAGATGAAGAAAATGAAACGTTTGACAACCGTGTTAGTAGAGCCAAATCAGAGCTTTTTGTAGGCTGAGACATTTGTTTTCCATTTCAACGAATGATGTAAAATAGTTTAAAAATAGTTTTATGTTGGATTTGAAACTAATTATGGCTAATTTCTCATGGCAGTGCTTTCTTCCCATGTTGATCCTTGTTGTAGACCATTAAATTTTATGAGATAAATTTGCTGGAGGTGAAAGAAAGGGAGGAAACCTATTTGAAGACTAGTTATTTTATAAAGCATCTTATCTTGGTAAAGTATGTTGAATCAAGTTTGAATTTCTATTTTATTTAATTTTGAATGTGCTCTGTATGGGTAAAGTTAGAAGATGCCTTTTCCAAATCAACGGGAAGAGATTTTTCAGCTTATAATGTTCCATTCTTTCCATAGATTTTGACTTGTGAGTAAGGAAAGATGCTTGAAATGCTGGTAAACAAGGAAAGAGGGAGGAGAGGTGGGTTCTGGATGCTTATAGGTGGTATTTGGAATAGGAGATGTGGTTAGTCAGTTGGGATTAGACTGTGTTCCTCTAGTAAATTGTAAATTTGTAAATAGAGAAGTGAATTGATTTAGCAAACCCAGATTGATTCCCTGTGGGATAATTTGATTTTGCACAGAGTAGCTTTTTAAATGCAGGAACTTC